GACAGGAGACCCGCGACGGACTCACGTCCCGCCAGACGGGCGACTCGCGCCCCACTCCGCCCAGTTAGACAGAGCAAAACGAAGAGTAGACGGACGATCAGGGTAGCACATCTGAATGGGTCGTCTGTTACAATGATGAGGGTTTGGCATGAAATCAAATATCGCCCGGATACCACGCGAATGGATTAATTCTCCAACACATGCTGCATATGAACTGCAGGTCGGAATGCTTGGTTACGGGTCTAGAGCGGGGCGCACTGAACATTTCGCAGGGAGGAACAAGTCAATTTTGTCCGCTGCAAACCCACTTCAGCGCACTACAGGCGCACACAATTTGTTGCATCAGATTAAACCGCATCGCGTGTTATCGATCTTTATATTCTTAACGTGTTTCCGATTATTTTTGCGTCAGAATTTATTGGCGTTCATACTAATGCACTTAATAAATCTGACAAGGGAGTGGCACGCACAGCCAGAGGCTGCCATGTGAAAACGCCCCTGGCCTTAAGACAAAACACTCATGCAGACTCCAGCTTATAGATAACCACAATCAAAGTAAGCCAAGTTGTCCGTATTCAAGAAAATAAGATGGCTGAATATCTCTATCAGACTGTACATGCCGGCAAAAGGGCGCGTGTTTGTAAAAGTTACGTCAGCGTGACAAGCAAATTGCAATATAAGAGGATACTTCAAAAGCGCGGTTTTTTGGAGTGTCAAGGACAACGCCTGTCCAAGCATCACTCCGTCGACAGCTACAGGACGTCCCAATGAGGAAAAATGCTGACTCCGCCTCGGGCGACCGACTTAGAGCGCGGTGGCCGCTGCCCATCCCTCGCCTGGACCCGGACCTCGCGGGTGACAGCTCTTGGCGACTCCTCAGAATTCCTCACAGGATCGGTCGCAAAGCCGCGCCGGCTCGAGCCCGTGCCAGGAAAAACAGCACGGCCGCAAGACGGCGAACCATATGGACACGCCGCGTCTTTCCGGTCGATGGACGCTTTACTCTTACTCTGCGCGCCATGCCTGTGTCTCCTCATAGCTGCATTAGCTGCTCCCTGAAACTTGGTGAAATGACGCCTTGTTATCTGCCCCAGTTCTCTCTCTCTCTCTCTCTCTCTCTCTCTCTCTCTCTCTCTCTCTCTCTCTCTCTCTCTCTCTCTCTCTCTCTCTCTCTCTCTCTCTCTATCTCTCTCTCTCTCTCTCTCTCTCTCTCTCTCTCTCTCTCTCTCTCTCTCTCTCTCTCTTTTTCTCCTTACACCACCACCAGGGTTAAGTTTGTCAGCGTACAAAAATCACAGATTGGTCCGTAACCATCACCCGCGTAATGAGCCTGGCTTTCTCCTGAGTCTGGTCTGAGCCCATATATAAATGCTAACAGTGAGAAGCGGCTGAATACTTGGTGGATGCCACACTAAGGCGCCCGATCAGGCGCCAGTCTCCGTCTCCGAGTCTCCGTCCGCGCGAGTCTCCGTCTCCGAGTCTCCGTCTCCGAGTCTCCGTCCGCGCGAGTCTCCGTCTCCGAGTCTCCGTCTCCGAGTCTCCGTCCGCGCGAGTCTCCGTCTCCGAGTCTCCGTCTCCGAGTCTCCGTCTCCGAGTCTCCGTCCGCGCGAGTCTCTTCTCACGTCTCCTTCCACTGTCACCAGGGTCCTTCTCACGTCTCCTTCCACTGTCACCAGGGTCCTTCTCACGTCTCCTTCCACTGTCACCAGGGTCTTTCTCACGTCTCCTTCCACCGTCACCAGGGTCTTTCTCACGTCTCCTTCCACTGTCACCAGGGTCTTTCTCACGTCTCCTTCCACTGTCACCAGGGTCCTTCTCACGTCTCCTTCCACTGTCACCAGGGTCCTTCTCACGTCTCCTTCCACTGTCACCAGGGTCTTTCTCACGTCTCCTTCCACCGTCACCAGGGTCTTTCTCACGTCTCCTTCCACTGTCACCAGGGTCCTTCTCACGTCTCCTTCCACTGTCACCAGGGTCCTTCTCACGTCTCCTTCCACTGTCACCAGGGTCCTTCTCACGTCTCCTTCCACTGTCACCAGGGTCCTTCTCACGTCTCCTTCCACCGTCACCAGGGTCTTTCTCACGTCTCCTTCCACTGTCACCAGGGTCCTGAACAACGCAAGACGAATTTTGACATTCGGGTGCCCGCTCCTGTCCCTGGCTAACCAATGTGCTCCTGGCCGACTGGGGTCCATCGCTGGCATGAGGTCCCCTGTGAACCCTTGATCAGCACAGGGGCCCTTCACCGTTTTGGGAGCCCGACCAATGCAAGGGGTGTCTGATAACCATTTGCAGGCCCAGCCCTGCCCCTACTTGGGAAAGCGGCCACAGGGCCACGGACGGCGCGGAACAGACTGTTCAGCATTCGCGGCATAGAGACCCGCACTGTCTCAGAGGCCTCCGATCAGTGCAGGAGGTCCTCCGACTGCTTTTTGAGGGCCTGGCCTTCTGACGGGCCCCTTCATATGCCCCAGATCTGCCCCTCGCGCTTTCTAATCAGAGCCTTGATTGTCGGCCTCTACGGCCCAAATGGTCACTCGGGACCCCCGGGGCCTAAGGACCTAAGGCCGCTTACTTTCCCTAGTGGCACCGATGGTGATGCCACTAAATCCTTATGAAAATGAATATTTTGGGGGTAATTGTGTGCCCCAGAAATCTGACGTCACTTGAATTTAAATGTTTTGGAGCTCTTTGTGGTACCTGCTTAGAATTGCGCGCCTCTTCAAAAATGCATCCAGCGATGCCAGAATTAAGACTTTCGGCATTCTCGCGGGGGGCCGACCGTGGATTTTGTCAGACTCGAAGGCACAGAAGTTGCGCTGCTGCTGATCTTGGTCCCCCTTAAAAATAAAGATGTTGGGGCCTTTAAATGACCCGTATGGATTTGATGCCTCTTACGAATAAAGGTTATGATGCCACACATTGAAAGGTTTGGTGACCATTCGCCAAATTGCTGACCGCGGATTTCGTCAATGATGAGATAGAAACGCTGCGGTGCCATCTGGAGTTTGCTGCTTCGAAAATGAACGCTTTGAGGCCCTTTATAGCGCCCCTGAAGTTCAGTGTCTCTGGAAAACAAAGATTGCGACTCCCGGAAATGCAGGTTTATGGTGCCACTTCGCCGAACCCTGAAGGACGAATTGATCAGGAATTCCTTCAGGATGAAAGGCGCAGAAATTCCTCTTGAAAACATAACTTAAAGCTCTGCAAAATGAAGGTCTTAGTATATCTTCACCATGATATTTTGGCTTACCTTCATGACACCAAAAGGTCATGAGTGGCCCAGGAGCATGAGTCCCATGCCGGGCTTTCATTGGATATTTAGTTATCCCGGGCTTTCATTTCAGATACTTAAATACATAAACTTCACCCATTGTCGCGCGGCCAAACAGATGTTTATTAATCTCTGCATCCCCTATTTTGCACAAAATGTTACTAAATCGCAAAATTACAAAGGGACATGCCAATCAAGGGTACTTCATTAGAAATCATGGAATGAGAGAGCTTGTTATTGTTAAAGGCAGGGTACGCTGGGAGTCTCAGGATCCCGATGCCAAATGAAAACACCGTCAATGGCTCACCGCCGGCGAGGAGAGACGTCCAAGGGCCGGTCAAAAGTCGGCGAGACACTGCCTCCAACATTTTCCCCAGATGTGCAAAATGGACTCGTCCAAGCGATCATGACGTCCGTGGATGAGCAGTACAGCCAATAAGCGAGCTCCCATAGCTTCCTACCACTGGGAAAGATACTGACTTCGGCGACAGGTATGCCTGCCTGACCGCCATTGCACGACTGCTTCCGTTGCACTGCCGTTGCCGTAGCAACAGCGACAGGACCAGCTTGCAGAGCCGAATAAGCGATTTACAACAGGGGGCCATGCACAATGGAAGCGGAGTCAGTTGGCGGCACTGGAATGCCGGCATTGTTTTGCGCTGCGGCCATCTGTATGGACGAGCTGGTCCAGTCGGTGTTGCTGCCAGCGTGTTTTGGTTAGCCCAGGACCGCCAGCATCATCCTGGTCACCTGCTGTTGGTAGTTGTTCTGTAGTGAGAAGCGACTGAATACTTGGTGGACGCCGCGCTCTTTGTATGCTTTGGATTCAAATGATGTTGTTCTTTTCAAAAAGCTGAGATGAACTGTTTTGAAAATGCGTTCGTTGTAAATCAGGTGGCACCACCTACGAGCTGCCTGGGACTACGATAATGTCCAAATGGAAAAGAAAAGAAAAACGAATCAAGCGATAAACTATTCCCCCGGGCTACGGGATAGGCGAGAGCTAATAAAGCTCCAAAGATCTCTGCGTGTCTTTTTGATCCGCTATTTTTGCATTCCAAGGGCAGTCGTTTTTGACCAAGACCATTTCACAAGCGCCGACTGGCTTCCAGTCTGAGTTCGAACTACGTGACTGTCACGAGTCCGCCCGGTCGTTTTCTGGTGGTGCTCCGCTGACGTGAGTCTTTTGTCTATAAAGTTCAAGAATCCACGTTTTCTGGGAACTGAAGCACCAAAAGTGTCCAGTCTGCGAGAGACTTGACAGCAAACACCGACTTTTCCCATTCGCGGTGGGTGGGGGACCTGTCCTGGCGCCGAGTTGACTGGCACTGACACGGAACTCTCAATAGGAATATGGCGGCTGGGGGAGCATCAAACATCGCCACACGTGATGGGGTATGGCCATATGTGATGTGTAGCGATGCATCCAGACAGCAGTCATCGAAATGTTCCACGACACCCAGCCTCGGCCCGTCCCCGAGCCGCCGGCCGCGGGGCTGTTTGGGACGGCCCGGCCGTTCCGGCGGGGTGGGATGGGCCGCCAAGATCGATACACTGTCGACGGTCACGGCGAGGCACAAGGCAACCCAACGCCGGCAAACCAACCAAACACTGCAGACGGCGCTCCAACCAGCCCGCGTAATCGTCTCCTCCCGTGAGTCGTGAACGGCAAGGATCACGTGCAGGGCAACGAGCTCGCCGCCTGTCCCGAGTACCTCCCACCCACCTCGGTCCGGTCGCGCTGCGACAGGCCGTCACCGACGGCGGGGCGGCCGGCGGCGGCGAGCGGAGAGCGACGCCCCCTACTGCTGTCCCAGCGCCCGCACACTTGTCACTGCTGCGCCGCCTGACCGGAATAGCCTCGGGCGACGCCAGACGGGCGGCACTCGCGGCGCGTCGCCGGCGGCGGTGCCGGCGCCTGCGCGACGGCTGCGCACCGGACACCGCGCTCTATCGGGGGGGGGGGGGGGGGGGAGCTGTGCCGCAAATGTGGCGCTGGTCACGAGCAGCGAGCCTCAATGGCACTGTTGTGGGCTCGCTGGTCACGGTGGCGAATGTTGGTGGGAGCCCTACAGCTATGCTCGCCGCCTTGGGGCTGCGCGGTGGTATTGATTTTATGAACGCTGGGGTTGAGGTGAGACCTGGGCTGTCAAGTGTCAGCCAGTGACATGGCAACGCCCGAGGCCTCGCGCACACGCGGCAATATCGCACGCTTTGTTTCCATGTGGGTATTTTGGCCCGTACCATCAATGCTAATTTGGGACGCATTGTGCCAGGAACGGATTCAGAATGGAGTCTTAGGAGGGGCCATGGCCCGTTTGGGCAAACGGCAATCAATCTGGCGTCGACTGACCATTTCGGGTTCGACCTTGCATGGCGGTCTATTGTGTCACGCATTTCGAATACAGACATGTGTTTACACGATATCTGACACCGGAAATCGTGTATGCTGTTTTTCTGACTCCTTTGTTTATGACCATACTCGGAGACTTGCGATCCATTAACGGAAACATCGCGCAGTCCGTGGTCGAAAGAGCCTCTGCCTCAATCCCAGCACCCGCGCACGTCCGCGGCAGGAGAGAGGTCTGCTCTCGCTCCCAATGTTCGGTCATGTCCGACATCCGCGCACGTCCTCAGCAGGGCAGAGGCCCGCTCTCGCTCCCAATCTTCGGTCATACCCGAAAGTAAGCGCCGAGCGGGACACGCCATCTTGCAGACGCCCAGGCCATTGTTTCCAGAGCCAGGGCCATGTCTTCAGACATTCAAGGCCGGAGTGAACCGAGTACACAAAAGTATGGCATGCATCAGCTTCGGCGCAATACGTGGCTTTCCAGATCTGGCAGCAGCCGACCTGTCGTACTCGTACCTCTTTCAATTTAAGGGACACGCGCGGCTTGCGCTGAAGCTTGCGAACTGTCTGACGACATCGTACACGGGCTTGGATTCATGTGGACCGATTATTGCCATTCAAATCATAACATCCAACAAATAACCAAAGCATCGCGCTTTTCGATAAACAAATATAACAACAAAAGCGGGTAGTTTCAATGCTCGTCTCGCGACACGTCTCTTACACCACGAACCCCTAGGCACATTCCGGACGACGCAGCCCCATTCTGACACCGGCCCGCTTGGCCGGTATTGCGACCGGCGGCCCTGGCTGACAAGGAAACTACGTGGCTGCCTTCTCCTGGCCGATTAGAGGATCACGTGGCAGAGTTCCCCTGACCGACTAGGGGATCACGTGGCTGCCTTCTCCTGGCCGACTAGGGGGTCACGCGGCTGGCTTCCCCTTGCCGACGAGGGGATCACGCGGCTGGCTTCCCCTTGCCGACGAGGGGGTCACGCGGATGGGTTCCCCTGGCCGACTAGGGGATGACATGACTGGGTTGCCCTAGCTGACTGGGGGGTCACGCGGCTGGGATCACTTGGCGTACAACCTCGCGCCCAGCCGACCCAAACGGAGCTGCATGCTCGCGTGAGGCGCCAGCAGCGTGCGGATCGACGCGGGCACGCGGTCAGCACGCGACGGCGCCCATCAAGAACCTGCCCAAACGCTGCGTACTGATATTCGGAAGTGTCAGTCCGAAGACCTTTCAGGGCATCCCCTCGAATCGCGGTGCAAAACACGTGACGCCCACAGTTGGTGTCGTCGCTGGCACTGTCCCTGAACATCGGCGAGCGCCGACACTTGTCAGAGCCGCGCCGCGAGTCGTCCCTGGCGTCGTCCCTGAACATCGGCGAGCGCCGACACTTGTCAGCGCCGCGCCGCGAGTCGTCCCTGGCGTCGTCCCTGAACATCGGCGAGCACCGACACTTGTCAGAGCCGCGCCGCGAGTCGTCCCTGGCGTCGTCCCTGAACATCGGCGAGCGCCGACACTTGTCAGAGCCGCGCCGCGAGTCGTCCCTGGCGTCGTCCCTGAACATCGGCGAGCACCGACACTTGTCAGAGCCGCGCCGCGAGTCGTCCCTGGCGTCGTCCCTGAACATCGGCGAGCGCCGACACTTGTCAGAGCCGCGCCGCGAGTCATCCCTGGCGTTGTCCCTGAACATCGGCGAGCGCGGACACTCGTCAGGGCCGTGGCGCGATGCGCAGTCCCTGTGACGTCGGCGCCACAGCTGCCGGCCTTGGTCGGGCGTGGTCGATAGTCACGTGGCGTCTAGCCCAACCACCTGGGATCGCCGCGCCGGCGGTGGTCGCCGCCGTCAGCGTCTCTGCCGCGCGCTGATTGCCTCCGAGCATTGTCTGGATGCGATTTTAACACGAGCCGCAGGCGTGTCGGCTGCGTGGGCACGCAACTGTTTGGTTTTACCGGCGCGTCATCTGCAGCGGTTATACGAGCTTCCCGTCCATGAAGCGTTCGTGTTGGCAAGTATTGTACGATTCGGTGATCAGCGATAAGAATGCCATACGAAAGTGCTTAAAGCGTCCAAGGCCCTTCAGGAAAGGCCGGAAATAGACCCCAAGGTACCGTAGTGACGACGATGTTTTGTTTTTGTTACAAATATCCACAATACATCAACCGTTATGTTTTTGTTACGAATTAAATGTCATGGCCTTTGACGGCACGATGCTTCACGACGATGAAAGCGGCAGATTAAATTAGGGATCGAGTGACTGAGGATTTAAGTCCTAACCCGCAAATAGCCCGCATACCAGCGGTTATGCACATTCATGACGAATTCAGTCGCAGAAAACCACTATGCGTTGACTAGACTGATTACCAAGCGCATTACAAACGCGACCGGTATTCGCTACCGCCTGATCCACCATGTAATCCGCCGTGAACAGAATTCCTGTGTAATCGGCGATGTCCTCACGACCGCCGCGCCAATGGCGATGTCCTCCGAGCCGCACAGCGCCGCGTGAATTTAGCAGGACGCTTGGTAACACTAAACAAACATGAAAAGATTTATTGATGCCAAAATTAATTCAAAGCAAACTTCAACTGTCCTCTGAGGGGAGGCTCTCATTTGCATCAGACGCAACGGTCTCGATTTCCTGCAAGAGCGTCACAGAACTAAGGCTAAGTCGACGGAAATGGTTTCGGTCATTCGTACTGTAGGGGAACACGGGCGGTTTAACGAAGTCATCGTCATTTCTATCGCTCCCCAGCCGTGGGGCAACCACACTGTGAGCAGACCGGCCACCGCCGCAGCCAGCGTTTACGCAGCGATTGCCTGGTTGCATAACGCACAGTGCCCCTTGTAAGTATTGATCCATAACTGAGTGGGTCCCGCTGACGCATCACATGTTCTTGCATGGTCACTGTTAACGGCGCCGGGAGGTGGCTGGCACAGCACTGGCAATGCAGCTGTACAGAGGGCACCAGGTGGTAACTGGCACAGTACTGGCAATTTCACAGCTCTGGGGTAGGACTGGGCGGTGACTGACAGGGCGGCGGCGTGCAAACGATGCTGAGGCGACCGGGCGGTAACCAGCCCGGTACTTCCACGGCCAGTGTGCTCTCGCACGTCTGGGACTGGGCGGTGGCTCTGACACGCAGCCGGTATGGTCAGTGTGCTGAGGGGACCGGTCGGTGCTGTCGCCGGTGGGCCCGCTGGACGGGGGGGGGGGGGGAGGGGCGGCTATTTTGGGAGGGCGCGTGCGGTGCGGACAGCTACCGTGAGACAAACCTGGCAACCGCGCACCGCCGACCGGTGCGCAGGGCTCAGGTTAGCGTCCGGGCCTAGTAGAGGTAGTAGAGGTGAAAGTGTCTTTTCTCTCACCGACGGAAATTTGAACGACCTAAATTGTCGCTTGGAGCTAAATCTATGAGATCATTATATATCATTGGGCTTTTATTATTATATATTCTTCGTTTTTATTACTATATTATATTATATATTATTGGGCTGGTCCCCGCAATATTGGACAGATTCTGCGCAATGTGGAACCTGGCGTCTTACACACATCAGTTCTTTGAAATAAGCACACCTCGAAGTTAAACCAAATGGAAACACACTTTGTACTTCAAGTACAAAGTGAAACATTCAAGTACATGGCTGTGTGTGTCCTTAAGATATGCCAAAACTGAATTCTTGAACTATTGGTTCGAAAAGTTATTGTGCTATGCCGTTAAAGTGAGGCACAAACACCGCATTTTCGACAACTATGAATGGATGTGAAATTCAAGTGCGTCTTTGCAATTGGTCTCGTGCTGCGCTGGTCACTGGTCGAACAATAGAGGCCCCACAGCCACAGTGGAAGCCACAAGGGGCGCTCCGCTGCTTTTAGGCGTACCGTTAGGGGCGGATCCAGGATTCCGTCAAGGGAGGGGTCACGCTTCACTGTGGAACTGAAACTCGGGTGCCCTGAAACTTGGTGCCTTCCTCCCCCCCCCCTCTCACAAAATGTCCTAGTACTTAACCCCTTAATCTTCGTGTCACTATTTTTTATCGAGAAACTTTTGTGCTTTGCGCATCGGGGAGAGCTGGACGCAGGTAGTTTCAAGTCCTTGGTTCGTTGGCACACACGGTCAAACCAATCAAACGACCTATTCTTCTCCGGACACTCGCGCACCGCGCCGACTTGGCGCATCCATATTCACAGACAAGGTTGCCGTAATCGGCATATCGAACGGCAGGATGGGCTGCCCACACGTGACGTCACTAAACCCGAGTGCGAACACCACACCTCCCCGGGGTCGATCGGTAGGTCTTGACCTTCGGGTCGACCTCTAGCCTCTCCGGGGCTCTCCGCTAACGGTTGCTCCGACGCGGCGCCACCGTCCTGGGTTGGTCCGAAAATCGCACCTTCTTTGGAGCTGGTCTTGGTGCGACGTCCCTGCGTGCGGGGGCCGGACCGTCCTGCGTGGCGTAAACAGGCCGGTACATACGAATGAAGCGCCAGTTCCGCCACATGGTGCGACCGCTGGGGAACTTCACCAGGTAATCCCTCATTCTCCCGATGGCCACGACTTTCCCCATTCTGTCCCAGAGTCCCGTCTCCTTGTCCTGTACACTCACGTTCGTGCCGATTCGCATCGGGTGCAATGGCTTTGCCCCTTTGTCGTAGGCTGTAGTCGTCGCTCTCATCACATCCTCCCCTTCCGGTCGCAGTCCTCCGCAGCCTTCTGCCAAGCTTTGTCGAAGGCGCGATGGTGCATGGGGACTGCCGACCGAACTGGATGCCCGTAGAGGATCTGGGCGGGTGAGCGTCCGTCCACCCGGGGCGTGTTCCGGATCTCCAGGATGCCCCGGGCAAACTCATCGGAGTCCGTGTCGCCGGCCACAGACGTCTTCTGCAGGAGTCGTTAGGCCTGTCACAACTGTCACGGTGGTCGACGTCTGGCGTCGTCCCATGGTCAACTTGCATTGGAACGCGCCGGTACACTCCAGCTGATGTCCTCCAGCGGCCAGGAGACTGTCGGCCGGCTGTGTCAGCTGCGAGGAGTCGATGCCGATCCGCTCTGCTTCTTTGGTGCCGATGACGGAGACTTCGGCACCAGTGTCTGGCGTCCACAGAAGTGATCCTTCACCTCTCTGATGGCTGACCAGGAGAGACACTTGAGGCGTCTTCTTCGCGGTCACGCCTTGAACGCGCACGTCTTTCACATGGAGGTTGTCGGACGTCTATCGTTCTCCGTAGTCTGACCACGTGTTGCTCCGTCTGGCCCGCTTGCAGACTGATGTGTAGTGTCCTTTGATGCCACAGGCACTTCACGTCGTGTTTCTGACTGGGCAAGAGGCCAGCTGCTCCTTGGGGTGCCATGGTACGGCACAGTAGCCGCATCGCCTCTTGCGGCTATGCGACCGGTTGTCTCGTCGGTAGGCGTCGTCTCTTCTGTAGCTGTCGTCTCGCCTGTAGTTGGCGTCCCGTCTTTCCATGCTGGATCGTCTTCCACGACTGTCTGGGCTGTCCCGTCTTTGTCGGCCGTCTGGGCTGTCCCGCCTGCCTCTGCTGACCCGGCTCCGACCACAGCGGTAAGCGGACACGGGGCGAGCGTGGCTCCCGCGGAGCGCTTCGCTGTTCTGTAGTGCGTTTTCACGCGCTCGACAGATGTCGATTGTCTTCTGCAGCGTCAACGATGACTCGGCGAGAAGAATTCGCAGCGTTTCTTCACACCGGATGCCGGTTATGATCCTGTCCCTGAGTCTGTCATCCATACGATGGGCACAGAAGTCGCAGGATTCCGCCAGTTCCCTTATCGCCATCAAGTAGTCGTCGAACGCCTCTCCATCTGCTTGCGGTCTTGTGTAAAATTCCTTCCTGTCGAGGATGACGCTTCTTTGGCTCCTGAGGTGCTTCTCCATCTTGTCCAGCAGGTCGTCTACTTCAGTGGTATCGCTCACGTCCAGTGATTAACGCACGACTCGCGTCTATTCATCGTCGAGGAGTGCCAGTAGCGCTGCTCGTTGCTCTTTGATGGGGAGGGAGTCGAGGCCTGTGAGAAGACTTTGTGCTTCCTGAGATTGACTTGAGAAAGACTTGAGAAGCCTTTGTGCTTCTCTCGCCAGGACGAGAACTCTCTCAGGCTAGCGGAGGTGGCTAGCCGCGGTGCTGGGGTGGCTGACGGCGGAAGGCGAGGTCTGCTGGTCGTGGCTTGTGGTCTCGGCGACGGCGTCGTATGCGGGCTCGCCCCCTTGTCTGCCCTGCAAAGCCTGAGTCACAAGATCACCCATGCGTTGTTCACGCTGGTTAGCGACTTCGACTTCGTCCTTCAACAGATTAATGAGGCTCGCTATAGTAGCGGCAAAATCATTTCCATCTGCCATCGTGTCAAAAGACGGACGCCTTCACCGGGGACACCGTAGACACCACCAAAGACCACCACCTCTCGTACCCACAATGAGCTGCGCACCAGGCTAGAGAGTATAGGCGGTCCTGTCATGTGAACATTGCTTGTTTGCTGTTGTGTAAGATGTGTTGACGATTTAAATTTGGCCTACTGATTTTGTTTTTGACAGAGTTATGTGAACGACTGGGTGGTTGATAGCATAAGTGGTCGCGTTTTTGCCATGTTTTTATATTGCTTTTCTACTAACGTTGTAACTGCACTGAATCAAAAAGTAGGTCCCCTGTTGGAATGATGCACGCGTGCAATGAACTGAAAATGGCATGCACTTTTCAAATGTATTTTTGTTAATTTCACAATTCACATTTCTAATCACGAGAGCGGCAACCGAAACCTGGATGAAAATGCCACCGATAGATTTAGCGTGGCCGGGCTTTCCAAAGACACCAGGTTGTATCCACTTGTAGCAACTAATTACACATGCCCTCTTTGGGGTATCCCGGACAAATCCAAGGTTCTGAAATGTCGAAATATTCAGGAGGTGTATCTATATATGGCTCTGCACACATGCACATTTTGCAGCTGTCAAAGCAAAAATGCATGATTTCGGTGAGAATTTCCCTGCAGTCTTGCTTTGATTTAGAATGCAGTGCTGGAAAAACGCAAACTGGTGGATAACGGGTGGATACGACTGGTTGGAAATGGGTAGCAGGCGGAATGTGTACGGCAAATCTTGCTCGAGAAGACCTCTCCTCGTATCCGTGCCCGCTATGTTCCAAAAATATCTACACAACCCAAACCGCACTGGCTACTGGGCGCTCAACATAGCAGATTCCACCATCTTGCCAGACAATATGCCACACTGTCGCTCATTCATGGCGTCATAGTTGAGAAATAATGACCGCATGAAATAAAGCGGCCATCAGAAGGAGCCAACAGCATTAACCGTGCTGATGAGCAGATATCTGCAGCACCGGTAAGCCCGCGTGTGATGGCTGGTGAGCCTGATATGTGATGGCCGTGGAATATGACGTGCGAGGCAGCTCCCACCGACGCGATTCTATTCACCATGATTGTCTTCCGCGCTATGTGCGGAAAACATGAGGCGTGTTGTAAGTGTGGCATGTAAACGAATGAGAGTGAGATGAAGTAAAACCAAGGACGCGGGAACCGGAGGGGGGGGGGGGGAGGGGCGATGAGGACAGTTCGACCCACAACTTGAAAGCTGGGGGGAAGGGCGATGCCCCCCGCCCCCCAATTCGTAGGGCCTGTGGAGGACCCATTTCGACCTGAAGATCTATTATTGAATGTGGAGGACCCATTTCTGGCCTGCAGAGGTGCATTCTAATCCGTAGACGACACATTATTTACTGGAGGGTCCATTCTGGCCTGTATAGGGCCCGTTCTAGCCTTCAGCAGACCCAGTACGACATTTAGAGCGCCCGTTATGACCTGTAGATCATCGATTACGGACTGTGGAGGGTTCAATCTGGCACATACAGATTGGCACATTGGCACAATCAAAATCTGGCACAATCAAGCCCATTCAGACTTGCAGAGGGCCCATTATTGAATGTAGAGTGCCAATTCTGGCCTCAAGAGGTCTCAGGATCGCCTGCAGGGGACCCATTTTGATCTGTAGAGGGTCCATTCTGACTGGGAGAGGGCCATTTTTGACTGCGAAGAGCCCATTCTGGTCTGTAGAGCGTCCATTCTGGCCTGCGGAGGGTCATTCCTGGCGGAAAAGCCCAATTTGGCCTGTAGAAGTCCCATTCCAAGCTATAGTTGGCCCATTTTAACCGGTAGATGGCCCATCATTGACTGTGTAGGGCCTAGTCTGACCCGTGTGAGCCCATTCTGACATATGGTGGGCCCATTATCGACTTAAAAGGCCCATTCGGGCTTGCAGAGGGCCAACTATCTCATTTTAGGCGGCCGATGTTGGCATTTTGGAGTCTGCCCGCCCCCCGAACTTGAGCATAGTTCCCGCGCTTTTGAATAGTGGTCCTCTTGCAAGCTTTCCACGTTCTCAGCCCAGTTTCGTGGGGATACGGATCACCTTTGCGCCATCTATATCAGTTTCAATCGGCAGATTCTTGAAGACCGCTTTAAGCTGCTACAGACTGCCCTGACAAGGCAACAGTTGACCGAATGCGCGCGCGTGCTGCAGCAGGCCGCGAACGCATCGTCGGGTACAGCTACTCCGCAGATTATGCCTCTGCGTACCGACGGCTCATCATGGACGTCTCGTAGCACCAGCATCACGAAGCTGCTTTCGACGAGATGATCAGCGAAGTGCCTGTTATCAACGCTCAGTGACCGCATCCTCACATGTGGAGGACGCCCCCTGCGCCGAACGCGGCGGGTGCCAAAGAATCGGGTGGCGACAGTTTCTGCCCGGTCATATTTAGGGTCCCTTTAGACCCACATTCTACAGCAGTAACGCAGGCCTTCCCCTTTTTGCTATTCATTTATTACACAAGTTCTTAAGGAAGTCACACTAGTCTAGCGGCTTCCGCTTAGCCGGAAGGAGCGCTTTATAAGCCTCTCCAGTCAGAGGTGCAGTTGGCGGGGGGTGGTGGGCTCAGCTCTCCCCTCAACTTTGAGAGCTCCGTCTGTAGGCGTATTTTGGGGTATGTTGAGTCATTTTCGCTGTTCAAGCTTCCGGGTTAATTTCTAAGAAAATGCGCCCCTGCCTCCGTCTAACGCAGAATCACTGAATCACTGAATCACTAATCACTGAACCACCCCAAGAGGGGGCAATGCTCCCCGGCGATACCGCGCAGGCGGAGTGGCCAGACCACCTCGTCATGTAACGAAGCTTGCATTTGACGTCGAAAACCTGGCACCCCGCACATCCTGCACCGACCCGCTGCCGATGGTGCACGAGCAAACGACGTCTCATGGAGGTCTCCTTATCTTTTCCTCCTGAGGCCTTCCCTTTTTTCACGATTGAGAGACCATGAATATAGGTCCAATAGAAAATGCTTTCCATCTATGCAACGACAGGCACGATAGCTGTGAATATTTGCGGAGCTACCTTTTAATAAATCGCTGAATGTTCTTACAGCTCCAGAGACCAACTGTCCGCCCAGATATTGCACGCGCCCGCTTCTTTCCTCGCATGAAGAAAACCATTCGCTGTGTACAATGGTTCGAGGTTTATGTATCAAAGAATATAATCAAAATACATAAATGTCTATTGAATAAGACCTAGACGTGGCGGCTGAAAAACGAACGTTTCAATCGAAAATAAATAGCTCAACCATCTAGCTACATGAATGGAAAATCAACTACAAAATCACAACAAAACGAGCCGAGTCGGGGCGACGGTTGAGGCGGTGGCGCCGTCCGGAGAGGCCGCTTTAGCACGCGCCCTTGCATACTGACGTCCGGCCCCAATATACAATATCGATCAATACTCGCGGGATCCTATCATAAAATCTATGCGCCGTCCCTTGTGGTCTAGACATAATTTCTGTATAGGCACCCTTGTTCCCTCGGCCGGCCGGAGCGCACGCGGTGCCGGCGACGACGGCGCCGGCCGTCCAACGGCAGTCAGCACCTGTACAGAACACGAGTATGTACACGAGGCGAGTTCGGGCGCGCGCGCGCGCGGTGGCGGCGAGCGCCGCGCGCGCCGGCCCGGTGTGTGAGACGCGCGCGCGTGAGTGTCGCGATGACATGGATCGATGAGCAGCATTATGCCAGAGTTTGTACTGGAAAGGAGAGAGGGGCGGGCCTCTGGCCGCGGGCGAGAGGGCGAGCGAGCGAGCGGGCGCGGGCGGGCGCGTCTCAGACGGCGAAGTCCGGGTCGCTGGCCGCATCGCTCTCGCCGTCCTCCTCGTCGCTGCTGTCGCGGCGCTTCTTCTTTTTCTTCTTCTTCTTGTGCTTGTCGGACTTTTTATGTTTGTGCTTGTGGTGTCGCATGACGGCCTCGTCTCCGGGGAAGCGCAGCGGCACGATGGTCAGCTTGGCTACCCGAGGCGGCTCCGCCTGCCGACACGATCGCCGGTCACAGACGGTCCACCGAACTGGCACGGGCGGGAGGCGCCAGGAGGGGGGGGGGGGGGGGGCAACGGCGCAAGCACAGAGGCTCCGACCCCGGCTCCGGCAGCGGCAGACAGCTAGGTCAACAGAGGAAACGAGCGGCACGCGGAGAACCTAGCGCGCTCGCATCGGGGGCTACCTTTGGAGCCTAAGCTAGCGGACAAGTGGTTAAATAGCAGGCAGGGGCGGTGCATGGTCAAACTCCCCACACCACCAGCACAAGGGCAGACGGATCTAGCCAACGATATCACGTCAGTTCGCTTTGGGACGCCCCCCCCCCGCCCCCCCCCCCCATCGCGGCTACGATCCTCGGACACTTCAGCCCTCGGGAGTTCCTCCCTTCTGGTCAGTGGCTCCGAGTCGGCCGCTGTCTGCAGCGTCCGTGAGGACGGCGGCGCACGCCACTCACCGCGACGGACGGAATGTGTGGTTCAGAAGATGGCGGCTGCTTGCGCAGCTCGGCCGTCGCCGAGGCGGCCGCCGCCTGCTTGCTGAGCGCGCCCAGCGAGATGATGATGGGCGGTAGCGGAGCCGGCGGCTCGGGCGGTGGCGCAGCCGGAGCCGGCGTCGCCGCCGCTGCTGCCGCCGCCGCCCCCGCCGGCCCGTCGCCGCGCGGCGAGCGGCCCGGCAGCGGGGTGGCGGCGGCCGTCGGCGGCCGGGACGCGGTCGCCGCGCTCCGGTCAGCGTCGTCGTCCTCCTCGTCCGCCGGGTCGATGTGCAGCATTAGCCGCTTGAACTGTGGGGCGACGGACGGCAGTCTCAGAGGCACGGAAGGCTGGGCGGTGACTTGGTCACAGCGCAGCACTGGACCGTACAGACTTCTGACAGCCAACTTGCTAAAGTCAAGCCCACTGACTGTGGGTATCCTACAGTTTAGTCCCTTTCGAGGAGCTTCGCGCAGTGCCATAACATCACTGAGCACGTTCTCAAGAAAACGATGGCGGCTGCCACGAGTTCTCAATGCGCGGCGAAAACGGCCTCCACCACGAGACGGCAGGAATCGCACCTCCGAGACCCTCCTTTGCGACCCGGCACCGGACATCAGCCCAGCGTTGCGCAGCGGGCGCCCCCGCCTGCCGCGGCCGCCGCGGCCGACTCACGTTCAGGTACTGGAGGATGAGCTTGCGACGCGGGTCGTCGTCGGCGCCGTCTGCCGGCGCGGCGGCGTCCAGCAGGCGCAGCGACCGGATGGTCACGTCCGGCCGGAACAGCACGTTGGGCCGCCGGTTCACTGCCTTCTCGTACACCTTGCCCGACTCGGACGGCGAGTATTGTGAGATCTTACTGGGGGGAGGGAGAGCGGGGCGGCGGTCAGCGCGGCGGCACGGCCGCTCAGCCGAGAACGAGGGACCTTCCCGTGTGTCGGACGGACTCGATGTCACCGAGTAAAACACAGAGCCGGCGAGAGCTTACAGCAAGCCAGCTCCCCTTACGCGGCTTAGTTTACTGACTTTCAGATCGACGACATAACGCATTTCACGGCTTATACTTAGCATGCTGATCGGCTTGACACAGTGAAATCATGATCCCAAAACATTATGGGGAAGGGCGGGGGGGGGGGATGAAAAAACAACCCATACTGCCCGTAAACCTCAACCCAACATTGACAATCACTCTGAGCCGAGCTACAGCGCCGCGGCAGTGTGTGGAGCTGAGCCAGTGGACACTGCCGCCTACTTGTCTGTGATGCCGTAAAAGTCTTTGAGGTGCTGCTTCATGACCAACAACAGATTGCAGCCCTCAGAGGCGGCCAGCGCGTCCCGGATGGGGGTCAGGTCTTCCGGCAGCCGCTCCAGCAGGTGGTCATCATCGTCGTCGTCGTCCTCGTAGGGCAGCGGCTGCCCGGTCATCGGGTGCAGACGGACCGGCTGGCCGGCAGGCGGCAGCAGCGCCTCCCGCACCAGCTGCAGGATGGTGCTGCCCGTCACCGATACCATCACGTCCACCTGCGGGGGGAGCAGGCCGTCAGATACACCGCCCGGTCCAGCTGCTGCGGGCGGAGCAGACCGTCAGACACACTGCCCGGTCCAGCTGCTGCGGGCGGAGCAGGCCGTCAGATACACCGCCCGGTCCAGCTGCTGCGGGCGGAGCAGATCGTCAGACGCACCGCCCGGTCCAGCTGCTGCGGGCGGAGCAGACCGTCAGACACACCGTCCGGTCCAGCTGCTGCGGGCGGAGCAGATCGTCAGACACACCGTCCGGTCCAGCTGCTGCGGGCGGAGCAGACCGTCAGATACACCGTCCGGTCCAGCTGCTGCGGGCGGAGCAGACCGTCAGACACACCGTCCGGTCCAGCTGCTGCGGGCGGAGCAGACCGTCAGACACACCGTCCGGTCCAGCTGCTGCGGGGGGAGCGGTGGTCACGTCACACAGCTCCAGTTTCCGTCGTAGACATGACATGTCAAGGACAGCGTGTGACCCAGTCACGGACAGAAACATCACCACATTCCCCTACAAATAAGTTGCCCCATTTCCCAGCCATGACAGCGCTCGGCACGGTCGCCATGGAGGGAACGATAACCGTTTTACGCAGGGGTTCACGGTCTGTGTCTGGTTGCAGCATTTCCGCGTGGATTTTCGACCAGCGCGCGGCCCGCTCGGTCCCCTAGATACGCGCTACCTTGTCGTGCGTGCACCAGCTCGTTGTCCTGTGGGTCCGTACCTGGTGGATGATGAAGAGCACCTCGTCGGCCACCTGGTACGGGAAGTAGGCCAGGTTGTCGGCCAGGTAGAGCAGCTCCTGCAGCGACTTCCTCTGCGGCGACGGGACGGTCGAGGCATGCATCAGCACCCACAGCCATTCACACGGACAGACGGCTAAACCCATACACACACCAGCAGGGCGCCCCTGGACATCAGACCATTCCAAGGCCGGGTGAGCTGCGGTTCAGACACGCACGGCTCTAGCCAGCACAAGGAAACGGGGCAGCGGGCTGGACAGACGCGTACGCCCGACGCAAGCCCACACAATCACAGGGGACAGTCAATGCCGGGCGTTCTGCGAGGGAGCGACATCGGACCCGAAGGTCTGTTACACAGGTCCAGGCGCCATAGGTCAGTGCGATGATGACAAGTGAGAGTTTCGGTCGCACCGACCGCGGATGATATTGGAGTCCCACCCGCGACTTACCACAAACAGGGGAGCGACACCCCTCGCTGAGGCGCACAGACGGCCGCGAACGCCGCACTCTGACGGCAAGTCGGCGCACCAGCTCGCCACCACACGACGCAGCAGGGGAAGGGCCCGCCCGTCCCAGCGGCCCACAGCCCACTCACCGCCTGCTCGTCGAAGTTGCGCAGACACGAAATGGCGATGGCGCGCCGCTGCTGTTTGGAGGTGCGCAGGATCGAGTAGAGGAAGCCGTTGAGGGCGGCCGGCGGCTCGCCCTCGCGCAGCTTCAGGCCGCGCGTCGTCTGGCGGCGGGGCGGCGTGAGGTCAGCATCGGCTCGGGGGCTGACGCCGCGACGGGCACGGCCAAGCGGTGGTAGCGAGCAGGAAGGCGCCCATCCGTCCGGCTTACACGGCCGCCACAAACACACCACAGCGACCACCGAGGCGTCAGCAAGCTGAGATAGGACAGGTGGCGGTACACAGGCTGGACTCGGCACACAGCATACAACCCGACACACGTGAACACTGCGCTCGTTCTCAGACACCTGGCTGCGGTGTTCGGGACTAAGGGCAGGGAGGGTGGCCCGCCCAGCCGACCGTGATGCCGCCCACCTCGCAGTCGGCCTGCAGGATCTTCTGCAGCTCGAACGACAGTCGAATGCCGGCGGTGGCCTTCATCTGGATAAAGCCCGGGTACTTTTTCTCGATCTCCTGCAGCTGCTTGTCGGCGGTGTGCGAGACACGCTCGTCCGGGTCGGTCGACATGCAGATCAGGTAGGGCACGATCTGAACCGGGTGCACCAGACCCTGCGCCAGGATCAGCTGGATCACCTGCGGAAGCCAGACAGCGCGGAGCGTCAGCAGCGCGCCGTGGCGGCGATCCGGAGCCGTGCCCGCTGCCCGTCAGGCGGCAGGAGGCGGCGGTGGTCACGTCAGCGCTGCGGCCGCTCGGCGGCCAGTCCTGCCCACAGTCCGCCCCAGCATCACAGTGGCGGTGCGTGGGTCGACTCCAGGGCCGAGGAAAGCGCGGGCTCCACGGACACGCAGCGGGCGGGTGCTGGAGCGCAGAGGGGCACGGCGCGCAGCGAAGAATCCCCAGATACATGTCCGCTCAAACTGGCATGAAACACGACCACGGGCTTGAAGTCCGCGATGGAACGGGAATGGGCTGAAGCGTGTTCCTCAGCGCCGATGATGAGCTGCTCACCACAGCCCACGCGGTCAACACCACTCCCACTCGTCAGAGGAGGGGGCGGACACAGCACGCGCACCATGATCGGCCGAGCTGGCGCTGGGCCCGGCTATTTACCTTGAGCGCCGCGTGCCGGACGGTGACCGAGGCGTCCAGGAACGAGCTCAGCACCTGCTTCAGGTACAGCTGGATCACGGTAGACGCCATGCCCGACGTCACGTCGCCCATCTCCTTCAGGTTCTCCTCCTTGGCGCGCTTCGACCCTGCCATGCGAACATGACGCGTGAGGCGACTGCAGAGACATAGAGTGTGGGAGGGGAGACGACACATTCGGGGACATATTGTGTGCAGACCCCACGGACATGCACCAGGCACCTTCCCGGGCACCGAATGTGGACACTCGAGGGGCAGCGTGGTGCGACGCTCCTAGACGCAGAGTTTGGATATTTCAGCTGCCCCTGAGACAAAGCATCAGCCGTCTTTTTCCTTCGTTTGACAAAAAGACCGTAGACAAGGGGGGGGGGGGGGACGTTAACGGCGGGGAAACGCTAGGAGACGGGAAAACAATGGGAGAAGACGAGCGAAAACACTGGGAGTGTTGATATGGGGATGTCTAACACGGGGAAAGGAAATGCCGATGAAACTGAATGGGAAGACACCAAGGGCAGAGAGCAGACATCATCCGAAAACACAACGCGGGACATATTGCAGGGAAGGGAGGAGCGGCACAGTCTGTCCAACAAGCTAATCGTGGTGGTTTGCACGCCGCTACGACAGCGGATAATGCGTGTCGCCATACAGCGGGACCGCGCCGCTGCCTGGCCCGTCACACGCTCCCGGGCAAGCATCACACACGCACACGCGCACGCGCACACACGCACGCACACACACACACACACGCACACCCACACGCACACGCACACACACACACACACACACACACACACACACACACACACACACACACACACACACACACACACACACACACACACACACACACACACACACACAGTCCAGCGAGCGAGGCAACCACATCAATCCCAGCGCCGAGCGCACACAGCGGACCAGCCGCTGCCTGGCCCGTCACACGCTAACCGAGCAAGCATCACACACACACACACACACACACAGCGAGCGGGGATCGAGGCAACACATCAATCCCAGCGCCGAGCACATCGAAGTCATCACTCATGGAGTGCCGTCTCAACAAGGCAGTAAGTGGTCCCTCCACCCGATGTGCGCCAGAGGGCCAGTACCGTTCGTGTCCGGGCCGAGCAGGCGTCCCCGCCGCCGTCACTCACCTCCTCGTCCTGCTGCACCATTGCGCCGCTCCTCCTCCACGAGGTACGTCTCCAGTTGATGAGCACCTGCGGCCTTGATGCTGCTTGTTGCCGTCCGGATCCTGCAGGAAGCCGTGGTACAGCTGCTTGACGCGCTCACGCAGCATCATGTCGTAGTGCCGAATGACGATGAAGCCGAGCGCCTGCAGCGTGAACATCTGCATGTCCGCGCTCGGCTGGTTCACGAAGTACAGCAGCGTCTCCAGCACCTCGTCCACGATGTCGTCCTGCCGGCGCAGCGCAAGACGCGGTCAGGCTGGTAGCGGGGCCACGGCCGATCGCCGCGCCAACGGACACCGCCGAGCCGTTTGGAGGCGGTGATGAGCCTCCTGACACTCTGCTCCAATGTAAGTGACGGGCGCAAGACCCCGAGCAGGCTAGAAGACGGCGAGGTCGTCGGCAGTCGAATCGACATCAACAGTCCTGAGGTGCGGTTCTACAGACCGAGCACGCGCCCCATGTCGCGGCGCGAGTGTTGAGTGCGACGACCTGACGGGCGCGCGGAGCACGCACAGCAGTCAGTCCAAGAAGAAGTCCGGTCTGTCTACTCCCCACGTCCGCGTACCAGCTCATCCCGTTTGCCTAGCAGGCGTGTTTGAGTTTTATCGTGATACGTTGACGCTACCGTATGCATGATCGCACATACCAAACATGAATGAAAGACAGCCGTCGCCGTCGTCATTGAGCTAACGACGCACTCAGCTGCTGCAGCCACACGGCGTCACCTGCCTCTCACCCTGACAGGGGTGGGGAGGCGGGGGACGCCGCGGGGAATCAAGCCCCGGTCTCCTAGGTCCCCAGACGCGGAACCTAACACCACACTACCAGTACCTCACCGAATGACGGTCTGTATCACCTCTACACCCGTGAAGTCAATCGCACAAGAGCGGCATTGTATTTTGACTTTGGATTTGATCTGTTTTGGACTGGAGCGTTCACGGCCGCGGCCTGCCCCTCGCGCGGGCATCGCGCCGCCGGCCCGCGCCACTCACGTTCAGGCCCTTCCTGACTTGCTCGTCGCCGAAGTCGAAGTAGCGCAGCAGCAGACCGACGGTGAAGAGCGCTCGCCGGAAGTAGGGCTTGTGCTTCTCCAGCGTGGGGTTGTTGGGCTGCTGCTCGTGCATCAGCTTGTACGACTTCAGATGGCCTGTAACGCCGCCGCCGGCGGGACCGGGCTGAGTCGACCGAGCTTGACCATACTCGGCCAGCGCCAGCTTCCAGCCGAGGGACCCAGCACAGCGGACATCGGCTGACAGGACTCGTGGTCACGCGCTTCACGGTGATTCCACGGTGATGGTGACTAACGGTGGTGCTGTCGTTCAGCCTTCTGGCGTGTTGCACGACCGACACACACATTACAGACACACCGAAGTGCTCGGTAAACAAGAAGTGCTTTGAACAAGCTACGATATGTCTTTATAGCTGGAAACCAAACGCAGCCAGGCTGTCACCACGATCATATCGGTCTCCACCTTAAGATACAGCATACAAAACTCGAGATCGTCCCTCGAGTCCCTAAACCTCGGAAACCATCGCCATCCAGCGAGCTGGCCAATGACCTGACTCCATCAGTCCACGTACTGTAGTACTTCCTGAAGCAGTCGCGGATGAGGCCGAAGTTTTTGGTGACGCGGTTGACGATGGAGCCGAGGCAGGCCAGGCAGCTGGCCACCACCGTCTTGTCGTGCTGCAGGATGAGCTTGACGCTGTCCTCCTCCAGCTCGGCCAGGAACGTGTCGCTGGGATGCTCGATCAGTGGCACCACCAGCTCCAGTGTTCGCGCCACGTGGCTGATGATCTGGTAGTCGCCACGCGTCTGACATCTGGCGGCGACAAGGAGGCGGCGGTCAGCGCGGGAGGACGTGCAGGTGTCATGACGTCACACAGCAGCAGGTGCCACGACGAGCGGAACACGGACCGCGCCTGATCCCAAATCATTCTACATACAGGCCATTGTCAAAACTGACGTCACGCGTGTCTTCAGGCAAATCTAGGTCAGAACTCCAGGTGACTCCCTGCACATGCTTCGGCCTGGTCGGCCCAACCAGCCCCAACAAGCTCAGTCCAGATGAGAGCGACAGCCCACCGCAGATTACCAACTGGTCCGCAGTCTCCAGGCGGCAGCGCCGCGGGCGGACACGGACCCCGCCAATACGCGCTTACCACACAGTCCTCAGTCAGGCGCCGACCGCGAGCCCCCCCCCCCCCCCCAAGCCGATCACAAGGTCCTCAGCCGGGCACCGGGCGCGGTGCGTACCTGACTGCGAGGTACGGCTGCAGGGTGATAGCGTGCGGCACCAGCAGCTGCGGTCGGATCCGCGCGAACATGTACAGCGTGTTGAGGCAGGCCACCAGGCGCTGCGAGCTGCCGCGGCTGACGGCGGTGCCAGTGTCGGCGGCGCGGTCCCGCAGGCCCGACTCCTCGATGCGTAGGATGTGCTGCACCAGACAGTCGACGATCTGCCGGCTGGCCGTCAGCAGCGACTTGGGCGGCTCGAACACCACCTTGGTGCTATCCTCCTTGTCCTCCTTCGGCTTGAACAGCTGGTGAGGAGCGCACTGTCAGACGACGGCGCAGGAGACGAGACGGCGGGATGCAGACAGCTCCCGCCATTCGTGCCCATCGCTGACGACGCACGCTTGAAGAACAACACCAGCACGGTGCCGCCCGACCTCAGTCAACGCACGTATGTGGAAGACACCCAGCTGCCGCTGCTGGGACCAGGCCACGACCACCAGATGGTCACAGCGCGACCGGACGAGCGACAGACCGAGGCCGGCCGGCGCACTCACCGTGTTGAGCAGCTGCTCGAACCAGTCGAGTCCCGTCTCGCGGCAGGCCACCACCACGTCGGTGATGTCCATCACCTTCTTCAGCAGCGCCGCGTCGTCCCGCTCGCCCCGCTCGCGCACCGGCGTGAACCACATGAGCTGCACGGCGGCCAGAAAAAGTCAGCGGCCGCGCACGACAGCCGAGGACCAGACACGGTCAGCGGCCGCGCAAGACAGCCGAGGACCAGACACGGTCAGTGGCCGCGCAAGACAGCCGAGGACCAGACACAGTCAGCGGCCGCGCAAGACAGCCGAGGACCAGACACGGTCAGCGGCCGCGCAAGACAACCGGGGACCAGACACGGTCAGCGGCCGCGCAAGACAGCTGAGGACCAGACACGGTCGGCGGCCGCGCAAGACAGCCGAGGACCAGACACGGTCATCGGACGCGTAAGACAGCCGGGGACCAGACACAGTCAGTGGCCGCGCAAGACAGCCGAGAACCAGACACAGTCAGCGGCCGCGCACGACAGCCGAGGACCAGACACGGTCAGTGGCCGCGCAAGACAGCCGAGGACCAGACACAGTCAGCGGCCGCGCAAGACAGCCGAGGACCAGACACGGTCAGCGGCCACGCACGACAGCCGAGGACCAGACACGGTCAGCGGCCGCGTAAGACAGCTGAGGACCAGACACGGTCAGCGGCCGCGCAAGACAGCCGAGGACCAGACACGGTCAGCGGCCGCGCAAGACAGCCGGGGACCAGACACGGTCGGCGGCCACGCAAGACAGCCGAGGACCAGACACGGTCAGCGGCCGCGCAAGACAGCCGAGGACCAGACACGGTCAGTGGCCGCGCAAGACAGCCGAGGACCAGACACGGTCAGCAGCCACGCACCACAACCGAGGACCAGACACGGTCAGCGGCCGCGCAAGACAGCTGAGGACCAGACACGGTCGGCGGCCGCGCACGACAACCGGGGACCAGACACGGTCAGCGGCCGCGCGAGACAGCTGAGGACCAGACACGGTCGGCGGCCGCGCAAGACAGCCGAGGACCAGACACGGTCAGCGGCCGCGCAAGACAGCCGAGGACCAGACACGGTCAGTGGCCGCGCAAGACAGCCGAGGACCAGACACGGTCAGCAGCCACGCACGACAACCGAGGACCAGACACGGTCAGCGGCCGCGCAAGGCAGCTGAGGACCAGACACGGTCGGCGGCCGCGCACGACAACCGGGGACCAGACACGGTCAGCGGCCGCGCGAGACAGCTGGGGACCAGACACGGTCGGCGGCCGCGCAAGACAGCCGAGGACCAGACACGGTCAGTGGCCGCGCAAGACAGCTGAGGACCAGACACGGTCAGCGGCCACGCACGACAGCCGAGGACCAGACACGGTCAGTGGCCACGCACGACAACCGGGGACCAGACGCGGTCGGCACTCAAGCACTCTTCACAAGTATCCGTCACTAAGCTGACACAAAACGCACCCTAAAATGGATGTCTATATGCGTGACAATAGTGACGCTCAGCCAGGTCGAAACAAAACTGCCGTTTCGACATCAACAAACCCGCATTCTGTGGAACTTGGCCCAAAGGGCAGACAGTCACCGACCTGAAACACTTCCATCACCAGCTTGCGAATGCCCTCTTCGTCGTTGACCCTCCGGATCATCTTGACACAGATCTCGGGGATCTTTGGGAAGTCGGGACACTCGACACAAATGTCCTTCATAATCTTTATCACACGCTTTCGCACACTCACACCAGTATCCTGCAATAGAAATCATTCCTTTTAGTCACACAAGCCATACACCACCCAAAACATACAACCTCTTAACGCACCACATCTTTAACTGGAACACTATTGTCTCTGGCCATCCAGACCATCATCAGACTTGCCTGCTCACAAAACAAGACATGCTGGTGCCCCTGCCCCCCCCCCCCCCCCCCCCCAACAACGATCGACCCGGACGGAGGGACTCCCTCTCCCGAGTCAACCGGAGCGCCACTCACCAATATCCTAGCCGACAGCTTGTCGTAATACTTTTCTATAAGCTCTGGCCGCGACAGGATGAACTTGCCGACCAGGTCGACGGCGGCCTCGCGCACCGACGTGCTGTGGTCCAGGAACGAGTTGTGCACGCCGATCTGCATGTCGGTGCGCGCCAGCACCGCCGGGTCCGCCTCCACCACCATCGTCAGGCACTTCATCGCCTTGGTGCGCACCGCGATCGCGCTCTCCGACAGCACGCGGATGATCTGCCGGCCCGGCCGACGGTCAGGCGGGGCGGGGAGCGTCGTTGTGCTGGGGAGGGCGCTGTCGCCGACAGACACCGGCCAGGGAGGGCGCCACACAATCTGCCGTCGACCCTGGCTGAGACACAGCGGCTGCTGCGGACGCCCGCGGCGGGGCACATGACCCACCCGCTCGGTGGCACGGTATCAGCGCGTGCAGGTCAGCAGCGCTCCCGGGTGGCTTAACACGACCGGCGAATGGACTCAGTAACACACCCAGCACCCGACATCGACCAGTACCGTGATGTACATGACAAACAATCTGTAAAACCCGTGATGCCCACCGCATGTTCCACAGGACCAGCACCGTGGCACGGAGACGCACTGCCTCTCAAGACGCCTCACCGCCCCTATCTCTCCGGTTCGCGCCGCGCCCCTGCCAATCTCAAACGCACCCGCATCGCTGCCGGTCGCGACCCGCCTTCCTCCCGGGGCATCGCGTTCCGGGGACGCCGCGCCCCGTCCGGCGGCGACGGACTCACCTGCTTCAGGTAGACGTCGAAGCTGCGCGAGAAGGGCCGCTTGCTAGCCAGGTAGCGGCAGAGCAGCTCGGCGTGGTCGTAGTCGAGGTACGTCTGCAGAGTACGGATGCCGACGCGCCCGCCGGCCTCACCGAACGGCGCCACCTTGGTGAGCAGCAGTTGGCGGCGGCCCTCCACCAGGGCGTTCACCTCGCGCTTCAGCTCCTCGCTGGCGGCCGTCTCGTCGCCCTCCTCGTCGGTCGAGTCGCTCTCCTCCTCGGAGGAGGCGCTGGCACGCCGTTTCTTGCGCTTCTTGTGGCGCGCCTTGGCCGGCGAGGCGGCCGGGCCCTGCTTCTGGCGCAGGATCTCCTGGGGCGCCTCCTTGTACCACTGGGCCAGGTAGAAGTGGCGGCAGTGCAGCAGGGCCGGGTCGCGTTCGGCGCTCACCGCCAGGTAGTCGAGCATGACGCGCTGCAGGAAGCGCGTCCGCTCCTCCTCGGCATCCGTCTCGGCCAGCGTCTGCTCGACCTCCTGCTTCTGCACACACGGGGACACGTCCGTCTCACGCACGGCCGCCGCGACCACTGGGGTGAGCACGCGCCGAGCCAGGCCGCCCGCCATCACACTGACGCACGGCCCGGAAATGGACAAGGCAGAAAAAAAACGCGTCGTCTCAGGGTCGTCAATAAGACTGACAGCCGTTTGGGGTGAGAAGTGCATTGAGTGCACTGTCATGTGGCAGTCCCGACTACTTTCGTTGCAAAAGCATGTACTAATACTACTTATCCACGAAATAGTAATCAGTTCAGAGAAGCAGATATTCCTTCGAGCCTTCGATAGCAGTGACATCCATAACGTATCCCAAACCATACATAATGAGTCACAGCCGGAACTCATTTTAAACTTCCGTACCTTTTTCTTCTTTTTCTCCTTCTTGCTGTCGGCGGCGGCGGCGGCGGCGGCGGCAGCCGCGGCGGCGGTGGCGGCGGCGGCGGCGGCGGCAGCAGCGGAAGCGGCGGCGGTGGTGGCGGCGGCGGCGGTGGCCGTGCCTGCCGGGGCGGCGGCCGCGTCCTTAGTGTCAGGGGGCGCCGCCAGACCGGCGGCGCGCTCCTCGCGCTTGACCTCGCTGATGATCTCCTCAATGAGCTCCGGTCGCGCGGTGGAGGTGACGGCGTCGCGCCGCAGCCGGGCCGCCACCACGCCCAGATAGTCGAGCGACGAGACGCGCAGCGCCATCTCCTTGCCCTTGTTGCTGAAGTTGGTCACCTGCCGGGGGCCGCACGGCGGGTGTGAGACGACACAGGGACACACACACACGACAGAGAACAGAGACATAAACCGACAGACAGAAGACCTGACCCACTCGCTACTCGCGGAAGTTTGACATCATTCTCACGACAATGCAGGAGGATGGCAGCCTTCAAAAAGAGGCGCCCGCCAGCGCACGCCCAGCTAGCCTGCCAGCGACACAGAGCCGTCGGACGGCGTCTGACCGGGGGCCGGAGGGGTCACTGACCAGCAGCTTGCCGAGCAGACTGAGCAAACACTCAGCCGCCGGCCACTCCGGCTTGTTGACGGTGGCCAGCAGGTCCTGGATGAAGTTCTCGAACAGCGGCCGGTAGTCGATCTCCTCCGTCTTGCTGCCGCACTTCTGCAGGAACACCGACAGGAAGCTGTGCGCCGTGCGCATCGCCGTGTCGTACCGGTCCATGATCAGCACGTCCCGGTCAATCTGCGGATCGGCCGGCGACTCCGGTCAGCCCTTGGGTCGGCACGTCACGCGCGGGGCGGCACGTCCCGATCCACCTGCGGGTCACGTCAGGGTCAGCCCGTGGAACGGCACGTCCCGATCCACCTGCGGGTCACGTCAGGGTCAGCCCGTGGAGCGGCACGTCCCGATCTACCTGCGGGTCACGTCAGGGTCAGCCCGTGGAACGGCACGTCCCGATCTACCTGCGGGTCACGTCAGGGTCAGCCCGTGGAACGGCACGTCCCGATTCACCTGTGGGTCACGTCAGGATCATCCCGTGGAACGGCACGTCCCGATTCACATGTGGGTCACGTCAGGGTCATCCCGTGGAAAGGCGCGTCCCAATTCACCTGTGGGTCACGTCGGGGTCAACAGGTGGAACGGCACGTCCCGATTCACCTGCGGGTCACGTCAGGGTCACCCCGTGGAACGGCACGTCCCGATTCACCTGCGGGTCGCGTCAGGGTCAGCAGGTGGAACGGCACGTCCCGATTCACCCGCGAGTCACGTCGGGGTTCGCCCGTGAAACAGCACACCATATCTGCTTATCACCACGAGCACGCAGTCCGTGGGACGCGACGTCACGGGCGACCTACAGATCAGCACGTCTGCTGCACGGGCTTCGGATCTTTAGGGTCGGCCGGGGCGAGCCACGCGTCACCGCCGGCCGTCTGACGCCCATCTGCGGAGCGCCGGTCGGCCCGAACACGGCCGCCGCCGGTCCACCTCAGCGACACGCACCTCACACTCGGCGTCCTCGTCGTCGGCGGCGGCCTCCTGCTGTTGGCTGGGCCGCGCCAGGTAGTTGGGCAGCACGACCACACACTGGATCAGCTGCAGCACCAGCGCGGTCAGCATCTGGATGTAGACGTCGCCGTCGCCCTGGCCGGCAGAGTTCAGCTTGTACGTGCGCAGCGAGCGCTTGCTGCTGGGCAGCCGGGCGATCGAGGCCAGGATGTCGTCCAGAAGAAGCCGCCGATGCTTCTGGTACTTGGAGAATATCTGCCGGCGGCCAGACGTCGGATCACATGACGCGCGAACGGTGGCGGGGTCCGCATGACACGAACGGTGGCGGGATCTGCATGGCACGAACGGTGGCGGGGTCCGCATGACACGAACGGTGGCGGGGTCCGCATGACACGAACGGTGGCGGGGTCCGCATGGCACGAACGGTGGGGGGTCCGCATGGCACGAACGGTGGCGGGGTCCGCATAGCACGAACGGTGGCGGGGTCCACATGGCACGAACGGTGGCGGGATCCGCATGGCACGAACGGTGGCGGGGTCCGCATGGCACGAACGGTGGCGGGGTCCGCATAGCACGAACGGTGGCGGGGTCTGCATAGCACGAACGGTGGCGGGGCCCGCATCGCACGAATGGTACGCAGTCATGCGTGATACGCAAATCCACCGAGCAGGACGACGTTAACACGCCGTGTGGCGTAGCCGCCTTCAAAGTGTTGCGCCCCAGTGCTAACTGCTGTATACCACCGGACTTCAGACTCGGCGCATGCACAACAATGCACCGCGCCGAGGAGCGTGGCGCTAACAGGCATGCAACAAGAGACATGTTCGCATCGCACCGTGCCTTAACAACAGAGGTCGTCAAGAGCACCAAGCCCGTGCTGTACACAGCCAGCAGCCCATCCCCACGACCCCGGCGCGTGCCAGCACAACCGCCGGCCGCCGTTACCGGGCCGACCGCCGCCGCCGGCCGGCACACACGTGCAAACAGGTTGCGGCCCGGCCCGGCCCGGTTTGAGAGCCACCGAGCGCCGCCGACGCGGAGCAAAAACAGGGCCGGGCCGGTGACGCGTCACGCACACACGCGCTGGCATCCGCCCGATCGGGGTTTCGCAACAGGGCGCGCGCGGCCAGCGCCACAATGCGTGCAATAATCTCCAAGGTGCAACAGTGCAAGGAGCCACACTGCGATGCTGATAATGCAAAAATGTTATGCAAATTCTACGTTAACTTTCATAACTTGGTGATAAGTAAATTCCCAGACAATAAACAAATCAATTTTGCGTGAAAACAATGTAGCCCACATTCATTGGATGACATGAATTAGATCACAGGTGTGGAGAGCACCGCTGATAGTCTCTAAAGGTAAAAATTCGCAGCTGCCAAAACAACACGTGCAAAACTCACGCAGCAGGGAGCAGAGGACGCCCAGTCGCTGCCGGGTCTACGGGTTCGACTGCACACCAGTCATCCGTCATGCAGAGCACACCTACAGCACGACCACCAGCTGCCAGCGCCAGGCGGCCGGTCCCCGCCTGCCGCCGCCGCCGCCGCCGCCTGCCGACACTCACCGTTGTGACGAGTTTGAGCGCGGACAACTGCAGCTCGCTGATGTTCTCGACGAAGAACGGCGCCACGCCCAACGTGGACACCTGCAGCACGGTCGTGTCCGTCAGCACCTGGATGTTGAGCAGCTCGGCTGTTAGCGATACCAGCTCGCGCAGCTTGTTGTAGAGCGACAACAGGCTGCGGTCGCGCACGTCCTTGGCGTGCGCGCGCTTCTTCTTGGCGCTGCCGTGGCCGCGATCGGCTGAAACAGAGACGGGTGACGGTCAGACGGGGCCCGCCGCCGCACAACACACAGACCAGGCCGCACGCAGCGCCCACACCCGCCTGTAACGCCGACGGTCAGACGGGGCTCGCCGCCGCACGACACACAGACCAGGCCGCACGCAGCGCCCACGCCCCGTCTGTAACGTAGACAGCAACAAAATTACACTAAAATGCACATTTGTTGGGCGCACAGACACCAGGAAGGAGCCCACGGCCGATTCCGCGTCACAACGGTACGTACAGGATTTCTTGGACGGCACCCGGTAGACGGGATCGAAGGCCGGGTACACCGTGTTCTGCAGCTGGAACTTCATGAACTTGACGACGCGCTCGATGCAGTCCTCCAGGTACACCCGCTTGGGCATGCCGGGCGAGGTGAGGATGTACATGATGACGAGCGAGGCGTCGGCGCCGCGCACCACGCGCTCCATGGCGATCTCCATCCAGAGCCGGCTCTCCTCCTCGCCCTCGTCGGCCTCGCCCAACGGCGTGATCTGCGCGCCGTCACGCACGTTGATTTCCAGGATGCCGAGCGCGCGCACCAGCCGCTCGGGCGGCACCGACTCCATGGCGCCGAGCGACTTCAGCTTGGCCGCCTCGCTCACCAGCTCCTGCAGCCGGTACTTGTGGATGAGCGCCTCTTGAGGTACATCGGCGTCCTCGTCTGCCGGCCCAGGCGCGAGCCGTTAGCGGCAGCCCAGCCAGTCGGTCCCAGTCCGGTGTGGCAATACTCAGTCACTCGGGTGGCAACTACGTGGACATTTTTCATGCTACTGCACCACCGGCTCGGGATTCACAGCCCGTTGCTCCTACCCTCGTTCAGGACCAGCCAATCAGCCATGAGCCGGGCGGCGGTCCACCCAGCATACAGGCGCATCGTGCTCCGCAAATCCGGCGGGCAGGTCGAAATGTCAGGGTTCGGGGTCGAAGGGCAACGTGTTGGCACGCAACGAGCGTTGTGGGTGCGGAGGCGGCTGAGGAGCGAGAAGTCTGGTAGCATGAATTTACATTCGCATCCTCGGCATATAACTGGATAAATTGTGTAACACCGTGTCAGACTGACGAGCGACAGCGTATCAATGGTCTGCCGGACTGACCGGAAACCGGGGACCAATGATTTGCTGGGCTGACCAGGTGAATGCAGCCTGCCAGCCAGCTGCGTTTGCCCCGGGGGGGGGGGGGGCAGATTCCTAACGCGTCAGCTCCACGGAATCATACCTTCGCGATTTCACACGTAAATGCTGGGAAGGGCACGCGATGGCAGCAAGCAGCATGTTTTGAATACATGTCTGGGATGCCGTTCAACTTAACGCTTTGGTACTCATTAAAATAGATTAAACATCACAACTTGGTCTCGAGAGGCAGCATGTCCTATAACACGGGCTGATCCAACGTGTCCTCACCACTCGGTCCCAGGGCGATTCATCACAACACGGGAGGGGGGTAACACGGAATTATCACGTCGCCGAGCACAAGCCGGTCATCCAGACCGCTCACCAACGACACTACCCGACACATCGTCCGTCATCCAACCTCTTCACCAACGACACTACCCGACACATCGTCCGTCATCCAACCCCTCACCAACACTACCCGACACATCGTCCGTCATCCAACCCCTCACCAACGACACTACCCGACACATCGTCCGCCCGTCATCCAACCTCTTCACCAACGACACTACCCGACACATCGTCCGTCATCCAACCCCTCACCAACGACACTACCCGACACATCGTCCGTCATCCAACCCCTCACCAACACTACCCGACACATCGTCCGTCATCCAACCCCTCACCAACGACACTACCGGACACATCGTCCGTCATCCAACCCCTCACCAACGACACCACCGGTCACATCGTCCGTCATCCAACCCCTCACCAACACTACCCGACACGTCGTCCGTCATTCAACCCCCCCACCAACGACACTACCCGACACATCGTCCGTCCGTCATTCAACCCCCCACCAACGACACTACCCGACACATCGTCCGTCCGTCATCCAACCCCTCACCAACGACACTACCCGACACATCGTCCGGCAAGCTGACAAAATAAACACTATACCAGCAAGCACTCAGCATAACCATCCACAGACAGCAGATCGAACGCACGGTTTAAATGACTGGCTCGCGAGATCGGGCTGAGCAAAACCTGTTACGCAGAGTCCATGACAAGCACTCAATCTCTGTGACAGGGCATTACATACAAGTTGCCTGCCAGAATGTTCCATGATGGGGACTAGCCAAACACCGCTGACTTTACCAGACCGTTTTTGTGGCAGGGAACAGCACACACACACCGCGTGCCAGACTGCCCCACGACGGGGGTTCACACAGACTGTGTGACCACCTGTACCGCGACAGGCACCTGGGCAATTCTCCTTGCCTCCCCAGCGACGGCGGCCCGGGAATAGGCATGGCAACACAGCTGTGCGGAGGACGGATTGGCGCCAGCACCCAGTACACAACACACTCCGAGGGAAGACAGAATCCACAGCGCCATACTGAACGACGGCCCGGGCGCGTCACGAGCTCAGCGTTGGTATAGTTGAAATATGCACCGTCAGATGTACAGCAGATAGCAGAACCTGGTGAGCACTGTACCCGCCAGCACACGTCTCCGACCAGGCATCAGTTGCCCACCGCCCGGCCGCCGGCGCAGCCAGCACCACCCACCGGTCTCGGCCAGCAGGTCCAGCTCCTCGGCGCCGTCCAAGATTAGCTCCAGCGACTGGTTGAAGCGCTGGTACGTGTTGGTCTCCATCAACTCCTCGGCGCTCAGCTTCTCCAGAGTCGGGACCAACCGGCGCTCGAAGCGGCGTGAGTTCTTGATCCGATCCACCAGCTCTGCGGGCGGACGCGTCAGATAAGTGTGACGCTGCCAAGGCAATGGGCAGGAATGAAGCTAACCTATTCCGACCATACGATCTATTATTCAAAGTTGAAAATTCAACAGCTGCCGCCGAGATAAAGGAGACTGCTTCTGGGGCTCGACATGTGGTGCCGTGTTGAGACTATCAGCATGGTTTCATACCTCCCTCCCGCTTGATTCGCTTTGCTGCGCTCTCCGAGTCCTCCTCAGGTTTGCAGTCACCGTCCTGCTGCCGTTTCCTCTTACGCTCCTCTTTCTCTGTAATAATAATGAGTGTCAAATAACCACATTACATTTGGAGAAGACAATGCACAGAAAGAGAAGATGTGCAGGCAAGCTATTAACTAGCATATTCCCACACAAGTTAATTCTGCCACACAATTTTCGCGTTTCACACTAGTTTATAAGCTCTGCCTACAGGTCCACCGCCCAGTGGACACACCTTTCTTCTTGGCCAGGTCACGCTCCTTCTCCTTCGCCTTGAAATACTTGTTTCGGGGCCGCCGCTCGACGTCGCTGTCGTCGCTGCTCGTGTCGCGGTACTTGGGCTTGCGCGGCGTGCGGCCGCCGGGCGTCTGCTGCTTAGACTTCTTCAGATCCTCCAGGCACTTCTGCATCAGTGCCTCATCCTGCAGCGCGACAACAAACCGGGTAACGACAGGCCGCAGCCGTATCACAACAACAGCCTGTAACAGCGTATCACATCAACAGTAACAGCTTATCACAGTTCCCATCGGCAAGCCCGCACCCTCGCCACGGTCTCGGCATAACACAGCCACAGTCTGAACACAAAACAAACCATTTCATTATGGCGTTCCAACCGCTGGCGGCGCTACATCGGAAAAGGACCCGTGCAACACGTCAGACAAATCGGCGCAGGCAGCGCTGGGCGGAGCGATGGGTCAGCCGGAGTGGCGGGTGGTCAGCCTCAGCCGAGGAGTTCAGACCGGCAGACCGCTGCCTACCTCCGGATTGCTCTTCAGTAACACCACGAGCTGTCTGCTTTTGGCCAAGTCCTTTGACGACGCGCCGGCGTCCGGGCTCTGTTCCCCACGGTCACACGGCTCCGCCTTCACCACTGCGTCCGCGTCCTTCGGCGCAACACTGACAGCCAGCGATGGCGTCGGCGCCGGCGTCGGCGCCGGCGCTGACTCCGGTGCCGCCGCCGGCGCCGTCTCTCGCACCACGTCCGCGATCACGCCGTTGCTGGAGCTAGGCGGCAGCGGCGCCGGGGGCGGCTCGCCGGCCACCGGTACGGCGGCCGCAGCCGGCGGCGTTGGTACTGCGGATGCGGCGCCGGCGGCCGGCTGGCTCGGGGGCCGGCGACGGTGCCGACGCCGGGACGGCTAGCCGGGCCGCCGGCGAGGCGGCGGCGACTAACTGGGCCGGGATCGGGCCGGCCGCCGCCGGAGCAGGGACGGCCACCCTCTCGGCCGCGTGGTTCACCACTGGGTGCGACAGTAGCTGATTGTTAAGCTGACGCAGCGCCCGCAGCAGCTCCGGCTCGGTGTCCGGTGCCTCAGCCGCTGCCGCCGGCGGATCCTTCAGCTCGCTGGAAGGAGGACGGATGAGTCAGTCTTAGGGTCATAAAGGAATTGGAATACTCGTCGTGACCATGAACAGGAATTCCGCCAAGCACAGATCCCAACAGCTGACGCAATGAACACTTTTGGCACCAAACCACCGCAACCTCAAAGCTGTCAGTACTTCGGACATTATTGATACATTGGTGCAGAGACTTGACATATGGACAGTGTGGCAATGAAATAACCAATGCCTTTTGCACTTCCCGTCGTTAATGATTTGCTGATCAACATTAAACTGGATGGTGGTGAACTCAGTAACTTAGAGACGAGGGCTTGGCAAACCAGGTGAGCAGATCTGTATGCCAGCGTTCGGGGCCAGAGGGCAACAGGTTAATGGTCAACGAAACATGTGGGGCGGAGGCCGCCGAGGCACCAGACGTCTGGCAGCGTCAATTAATATTGACATCCTTCACACAACTACATGGGTTTTGGAACCCTGTATGTTGAACACGTGCACATAATGACAAAGAAGACGTTAGCATCACAATAAAAAAGTGCAGCATCACATCAGATAAAAGCAACACGAGGTAAGTCAAACACTTTGATATTCACTATCATTTAATGACAGCCCAATATAATTCTGGAGGCTTTTGTGGGATGCTAGCAGTAGCCTATAATCCACAGTTACATGTGGAGGTAACATCATGTCTATTCACCTTTTTGACAGCCCCCCCCCCCCCCACAATGAAAAGCACACACAAGCAACAGCACCCATGTGTTGCACTATGAGGCAGGTAGTGTGACCCCAGCAGGTACTAAAACTGGACAGCGTTGCCCCACGCGCCGCACAAGGCGCCCGCTCAATGGACCACGTAGGAATACCCGATTAAAAGCTGGCATGGACAGGGAAGGAACACCCGATCAGAAGCCGGTATAGACCGGGAAGAGACACTCGATTGGAAGCTGGCATGGCCCGGAAAGGAACACTCGATTGGAAGCAGGTACGGACCTGGAAGGGACACGCGACCGGAAGCCGGCATGGACCAGGTAGGAATAGGCGATCAGAAGCCGGCATGGACCAGGTAGGAGTACCTGATCAGAAGCCGGCATGGACCGGGAAGGAACACTCGATCGGAAGCCGGTATCGACCGGGAAGGCACACTCGATCGGAAGTCGGCATAGACCGGGAAGGAACACCCGATCGGAAGCCGGTATGGACCAGGAAGGAACACTTCATCGGAAGCCGGCATGGACCGGGAAGGAACACTCGATCGGAAGCTGGTCTGGACCAGGTAGGAATACCTGATCAGAAGCCGGCATGGACCGGGAAGGAACACTCGATCGGAAGCTGGTCTGGACCAGGTAGGAATACCCGATCAGAAGCCGGCATGGACCGGGAAGGAACACTCGATCAGAAGCCAGCATGGACCAGGAAGGAGCACTCGATCGGAAGCCGGCATGGACCGGAAGGAACCACCCGATCGGAAGCCGGTATGGACCGGAAGGGAACACTCCATCGGAAGCCGGCATGGACCGGAAAGGAACACTCCATCGGAAGCTGGTATGGACCAGATAGGAATACCCAATCAGAAGCCGGCACGGACCGGGAAGGAACACTCGATCGGAAGCCGGCATGGACCAGGAAGGGACACTCGATCGTAAGCCGGTATGGACCAGGAAGGGACACTCGATCGGAAGCCAGCATGGACCAGGAAGGAACACTCGATCGGAAGCCGGCGTGGACCAGGAAGGAACACTCAATCGGAAGCCAGCGTGGACCAGGAAGGGTCACTCGATCGGAAGCCGGCATAGACCAGAAAGGAACACTCAATCGGAAGCCAGCATGGACCAGGAAGGAACACTCGATCAGAAGCTGGCATGGACCAGGAAGGAACACTCGATCGGAAGCCGGTATGGCCCAGGTAGGGGTACCTGATCAGAAGGCAGCATGGACCTGGTAGGAATACCCGATCAGAAGCCGGCATGGACCGGGAAGGAACACTTGATCAGGGGCACGCGTCAGTGCCACCCTAACATGTGCTCGGCAGAGGTGTTGGCCAGCGCCTCCGCCAGCTGCGGCACCAGGCTGTTGTCGCGCACAGTGAGCAGCCGGCGCGCCTCCTCGGCCACACGCGGGTGGAACAGCAGCGACCGGTTGTTGAGGGTTTGCTCCATTGGCGTCGGCAGCGGCAGCTCCGGCAGAACTGAGAAGCGAGCGCCACTAGCTAGACCATCAGCACTACAGAAGTTGGCAGTTGGTGACCCCAGTCATAGTACCACCCACCCCACCACAATGATCAGACTACATGAATTTCTTATGGAGAATGGGTACAAGCCACTAGGAAATAAATGCATGGGATAAAACACATCCACTGAGCAAAGCTATGAGTAAAATAATCTGAAGGAGTGCATTTGAACTTTGCCAGTGCCTGACAGCACATCCTTCTTACAGATGCCTGATTTGCACCATGGTAACCAAGAATTGCAGCCATGTGAGCATCATATATCTTTACTCACGGTCAGAGAGGCTAAATATGCCGGCAAGGGTGGTGACCGGCGTGTTGGAGTTTGGCAGCTCCCCATT